AATAAATAAATAAATAAAATAAAAATAAAAACGGGCCTTCGCCCCCTTTGCTCCTTCTGCCATGTGAGGACACAGAAGGTGCCATCTATGAGTAACGCACCCTCACCAGCCCCTGAATCAGCTGGCATGTTGATACTGGATTTCCCAGCCTCCAGAACTGTGAACAACAAATTTGTATTGTTTACAAATCACCCACTTTAAGATACTCTGTTAGAGCAGCGCTGATGCCTAAGGCACAGTCTGAGTATTAAAACAGTGGTTTTCTGGAGGCAGCCCTCAGCCAGAGAAGGGCCACTGGTGAGGATAGAGAGATTGGTTTATCAACTCTATTTAGGAGTTCAGGACGAAATAACTTACAAAATCAAGGCAAAGAGCCCAATCTCCTTTCCTGCTTTTGCAGTCTGTTTCACTTCTCTGCCAGCACTTCCAGTGGCACAGATGGCCAGGATGGCACAGCAAGCAAGCCCTCATCCACACAGGGAAACATTGTCTGGGAACTATGGCTGGTATAGGAGCTTTTCCATCTTCGGCGCTCTGAACCAAAAAGGTGAGGGGATGGACAAATGAGAAAAGATTTTCATCTCATTGATGGCTCAACAAAACTACAGATGGAACTACTTCAGATGAACTTGAGGGCCACTGCCTTTTCCTGATGCCCATTCTCTGGGCCTGCTACAGTGTCTAAAATTCCCCAATCTTACATTGTGTCCTTTGGGACAGATCTTGATCCAGAGGCCCTTGTTTGTTACAATGCACATTAATTATCCCAGGCATATTCTCTCTCCTGCTCAGTGCTCTAGTGCACCATTTCATCTCAAAGCACTGTTGGTGGAGCTCCAGTCCTCATCAGCCTATACACTCTCCACCACCTTCAACATTCCTTTTACTGTTCCTCTGCAAACACCTCTTCCACCCCAACCCATGACCACTGCTGTTACCTGTCCCTATAGTTTTGCCTTTTCCTGAATGTCACATAAATGGAATCATACAGTTTGTAAACTTTTTTTTTTGAGACAGATCCCCCTCGGCCCCAAGAGCGGAGCAGTGGCCATGACTTAATCACCACAACCTCCGCCCCCCGGTTTAACTGCCATTCCTGCTCAGCCTCTGGAGTAGCTGGGACCCTACAGGTACCGCCACGCACGCCGGCTAATTTTATTTTTAGGGTAGATGGGGTTCACCATCTTACCCCGCCCAGATGGCCTCAATCACTTATCCGCCACCTTCTCCAAGCAGGCGCGATTAACAGTATGAGCCAACCCCGCCAGACTACAGTTTGGTAAACTTAAGACGTAGCTGGGGTGCGGTGCTCACACCGTCCTGCTAAACCCTGTTCCTCAACAAAAATAACAAAAAATTACCGGCCGTGAAGCGTGCACCTGTAAAATCCGATACCCAGCAGCTTGAGACAGGAGAATCGCCTGCAACCCAGGGGCCGAGCCTGCAACCAACTGCACTCCCAGCTTGGGTGACAGAAAAAGGCAGACTCCGTCTCAAAAAACAAAAACCAAAAACAAAAAACGGCTTTCTTGGCCGCATAGTGGCCTCAACGGCCGAATCCCAGCACTTGGGAGCCTCATGGCATTATCACCTGAGTCGGGAAGTGGAGACCACCTGACAACATGAGAAACCCCATTCTCTAACTAAAATACAAAATTAGCCGGAACCGTGATGGCAGCATGCCGTAATCCCAGGTACTCGGGCGAGCAGAAAAAATCCACTTTGAAACCCAGGAGGCGAGATGTGGGTGAGCCAGATCGTGCCATCTGCACTCCAAGCCTGGCAACAAGAGCGACACCTGTTCTCAAAAAAAAAAAAAAGCCATGGAAAGGCCCTCTGTCTTGTTCCTGGAAAAAAATTAGAGCCCCGAAATGAGGTGCAAGAAGCCTGACTGCCCCGAAAAAAAAATGCTGTGACAAAGTCCAAGCACAAAGAGAGGTTCCGTGCGGGGACTAACAGTCCCAGCTGAGCCTAGCCACAGGTGCCAATCTGGGTGCCAAAAAAAGTCCTCCCAATTGAGGATCCAGAAATTGGGAAGCAGAAACGAAAAAAAATAGGCCATTCTGCACTGCTATAAATACCCGAAACTAGGCAATAAAAAAAGAAAAGAGGTTTCATTGGTTCTTGGTTCTTCTGGCTGTACAGAAAAAAAGGCACCGGCATGTTTGGCTCCTGGGGAGGCTTCAGGGAGCTTAAAAAAACCGTGGAAGGTGAAGTGGGAGCTTGCAATTTGCATGGTGAAGAAAAAAACAAAACAGAGTTGGGGAGGGCAGGAAGGTGCCACACACGTAAAAAAAAAGATCTCAGGAGTACTCACTATTACAAGGACAGCACCAAGCCATGAGGGATCTGCCCCCATCACCCAAATACGTCCCACCAGGCCCCATCTCCAACACTGGGGATTACATCTCAACATGAGATTTGGAGGGGATATCCAAAAAAAAAACTTGTATGCCCATCCCTGTTGTGCCCATCCAAGTTCCCAACCAAAAAAATGTGCTGGCCTAATAAAATTGTTGTTTTAAGTCACTAAGTTTGGACTGGTTTGTTAAACAGCATCAGATGGCCATAACATCCTGCAATTTGAAAAAAACTACAAGCTTGTGGGCCCAAGAGATATCTGTTTTACTCTAAAAAAAAAAATGTATGTCACTTCTTGGCTGCTTAGCTTCCATATGCTCCTCAAAAAAATTTTGAGAAAATCAGTTAAAATTCTCTTAATCTTCCCAGTAAAAAAAAAGATTAGATGGCCTAAACAGCCCTCTTAATCAAAAAAACTAAAAAAAAAAAAAAATTACAAACATCTTTATAACCACACTGATAAGCAGGCATGAAAGTGAGGAATGTGTAAACATTCAAAAAAATAAAGTGAAATGGGCCAGACGCAGTGGCTCATGCCTGTAATCCTAGCACTCTGGGAGGCCGAAGAAAAAAAATTGCTTGAGCCCGAGTTTCAAACCAGCCTGGGCAACATGGTAAAAAAAAGTCTCTAAAAAAAAAATATATACAAAAATTAGCCCGGCCTGGTGGTGCACAGCTGTAGTCCCAGCTACTCTTGAGGCTGAGATGGGAGGACTACATGAGCCCAGGAGGTGGAGGTTGCAGTGAGCTGAGAGCATGCCACTAAAAAAAGGCCTAGCTGACAGAGCCAGAGCATGTCTCAAAAAATAAATAAAATGAGAGCTAGAATTCTGAGAATCGAGCAACAAACCTGACTTTGAGGCCGCTAAATCCTAGAGAATATAAACTTCCACTTTGGCAGCTACCTGGAAGCAGTAAAGACAAAGCCTAAGGCCTGCCAGTGGGTGCAGAATATTCTAGAAAAAAACACTTTCAGGACCCCAGTTTCCACCCTCAGTATAAAGCTAAATAAATAATAAGGCCGGGCATGGTGGCTCAAGCCTGTAATCCCAGCACTTAAAAAAACCAAGACAGGCGGATCACAAGGTCAGGAGATCAAGACCATCCAAAAAAACACGGTGAAACCCCGTCTCTACTAAAAAAAAAATACAAAAAAAAAAAAAGGCGAGGTGGCGGGCGCCTGTAGTCCCAGCTACTGGTGAGGCAAAAAAAGGAGAATGGCGTAAACACGGGAGGCGGAGCTTGCAGTGAGCTGAGATCCGGCCACTGCACTTCAGCCTGGGCGACAGAGGGAGACTCTGTCAAAAAAAAAAAGCTAAATAAATAATAAAAACCACCACACAGAATGGAACAAAAAGAAAATATTTCTCTTGTGGATGTTGTGACTTTAATCAAGCTCTAATCTTCTAGGAAGGTCCAAACCCGTGAGTACAACACAAAGTCAGCCACAAAAAAAACTTACCTCAAGATAGTTATTGGCCCCTAAACCTCATCCACAAAAAAAAAATTTTGCTACAAATTCTTTTCACTTTTATCCTCTAGACTGTGCCTTTGCAGGTGCTATTCTCTGTTTAGATCACACTTCTTTTTCTTAATTAAAAAAATTACACCAATTATAGGAATCCTTTCCCACCTTTCCCGACCATAAAAAAAAGCTTCCTTCCTCCATTGTACTCTCATAGTATGCCGAGGGGTGACATAATTGTAGAACATACTGCCTCTATTGTGATTTTTTCCATTGGACCAAGAGTTCATTTGGGTCAGTAACTTACTCAACCGTGCCTTGCCTATGGTGAGCAATTAGGATTTTTTTGAATGAAAGTGTAGTCTTATGGAGATGCAGAGTAGAAGGATGATTAACAGAGACTGGGAAGGGTTGGTGGGGTGGGGAAAAAAAACTAGTTAATACGTACAAAAATAGAATAAGAAATAGTATAACTAGTATTTGATAGCACATCGGAGTAACTACAGCCAATAATATTGAACATTTTAAAGTAATTAAAGGAATATAACTGAATTGTTTGTAATACAAAGGATAAAAAAAAGAGGTAATGGACATCCCATTTATCCTGATGAGATTATTACGTAAAAAAAGCCTGTGTCAAAATATCTCAGGTGGCCCATAAATGTTTACAAAAAAAAAGTACCCCAAAAAACTTAAAAAAAAAAAAAAAAAAAAACTAACAAAAAAATAACCTGGAAAAATGTAGTTTTGTTCCTGAAGTAGGATTTTAAAAAAAACTTTGTAATTTTCAGTCTTCCCTGAGCTATAGCTCAATGGTTAAAAAAATTAGCTGCACGTTAGAGTCACCTGCAGCTCTTTGCAAACTTTAAAAAAAGAGCTGGGCCTCAGGCATCAATGTCTAAAGCTCTCCGGGTGATCGTAGCTTGCAGCCAGCGCCCTTCCAGCAACTCCAAGGCCGGCTGGTGTGAGCTCAAGCAGTCGGGAGTCGGACCAGCTGCACAGTTAATACATATATGTCCTAGGCTCTTCTCTCCTTCCAACGCAAATATGTGCACAGACCCTGAAAAAAACCGCAGCCCTGTTCTCACAACCAAACTGCCTCTCGGGCCAAAAAAAAAAAATCAAATTTCTGCAAGTGGACAAACGGAAGCGGAAATAAGCAAAAAAACAACGCTAGATGACTCGATTTCGTCTCGGTCTTCCCCTGCCGGCTGGGCAGAGGCACCAGGATCAGACAGACACATTCCCTGTGGACGGCGCTCCCATCGGATGACTGGAGGGACTGGACACCAGGCACAGGCAGTACTTAAAAAAAACCATAAGTCTCCCAAACATCCACAACGGCTCGCTCTCTCAGAAAAAAAGACAGCGCTGCCATTTTGGATCCTGTTCAGCCGCGCGAAGCCGGCGTTTGCACAGATTTTCTGACGTCATATTAAGGCGCACCGGGCGCGCAGACTTCTGGGAGATGAAGTCCTTGCGAAGGCAGCGCATTGATTGGGAGCGCGGGAGCCAGGACCCTTTGCGCAGGCGCGTTGCTTACCCGACCTGAAGAGGCGCCGTCTTCCCGGGTCCCGAGCACTCTGTGCCGGAGGTGAGGGTTGTGGGTGTGTGTCTTCGAGGAGCGGACTGAGAGCAGCAGCTTAGAGACAAAAAAAGAGAACTTTGGGGAGGTGCTGTAGGAGCAAAACGGGGTGACAAAAAAAAGGCCAGCAGAGCGTGTGTCGCGACGACTCGGTGCGGACGGAAAGTTGTGCACCCACCCCCGTGTGTGCGTGTGTCCCGTGGGGTCTGGGCACCCATTGTCTGTCGGTCCCGGACTTTCAGGTTGGAGGTTTGGAGTCTTCCTCCGCCTCTCCCGTTTCTTCTTCCCATAATGGGTGCTTAATGAACGTGGGTGGAATTGACACCAAATTTAGGGTGCTGCCCGCTCCCTCTTTCCTAGAAAAAAACTCAGATTGCCTCATTTAGCTCCCTGCCCTGGGCCTCCGCATGAGTGCTGGAGGGCTTCATGGAGGAGGTGGGATTTGACGTGAAAAAAAAAAAAAAACCAGGAAAGCAGCAGCTAAGCGTTAGGCAGATTTGAGCTGGAAAAAAAATTTACAGAAATTTAGCAACAGTGGTAGACAAGGTTGAAGAAAAAAAAAACTGGGAGCCAGGGCCCGGGACTCAGAGAATCAGGACAAGACCAAAAAAACAAGGTGGCTTGTATAGGTGTGATCCAGGGACTGACACGAATCAAACTATTTGGGGACAGTTGTTCTAGAGGTCACATTCAGGACTAGAGAGGGGAAAGGACCAGAAGCAGAGAGCCAGTTAGGGACGTATGGCAGTTTTAAAAAAAGCTGTTGTGGACCTGAATTCAGGTGGTGGTAGTGAAAGGGAAAAAAAAAGATGACATTGCAAAAGAAGAGTCAAAAGGGCCTGGTGACTAGAAAAAAAAGGAAAGACAGTGAGGTAAGAGTTTGAGTTTGGGACACCTGGGAGAAGAATAAAACATCTGATACAAATGTAAAGCCAGGAAGAGGCGTGGATGTGGGGAATTGCCTAAAGGAAGATAGTTTTGAGGTGGTGGCGGAACGCCTAATTCAAGGTTTGCAGTCATTTGGAAATGCAGGATAAGTTTGGAAGAAAAAAATACAGTTGTACAATTACAATACAGTTACAGGACATGGACATCTGTAGAGTTGGAAAGTGGAGCCCTGAGTGTGGATGGACTTTCTGAGGGATGGCAAAAATGAAGAAAGTACAAAGACTGAGCTATGGGCAGCATCCATGAAAAAAAGGCAAAAGTGGGGAAAAAGAGTCACACAGAGACAGCAATTTTAAAAAAAGGAAGAAAGGCTAGTGCAGTATCATAGCAGTTACACTGTTCCAAAAAAAACCACTGGAACAAGCAGAAGCTTGTCAGAACAGTGAAAAGCTACAGAAAAATAGAGAGAAGATCAGAAGTGCATTGGTAGGCCGGGCACAGTGGCTCAGGCCTGTAATCCCAGCACTTTGGGAAGCCGAGGTGGGCAGATCACTTGAGGTCAGGAGTTCAAGACCAGCCTAGCCAACATGGTGAAACTCCATCTCTATAAAAATACCAAAATTAGCTGGGCATGATGGCGGGTGCCTGTAATCCCAGCTACTCGGGAGGCTTTGGTGGGAGAATCACTTGAACCTGAAAAAAAAAGGTTGCAGTGAGCTGAGATCATGCCATTGCACTTCAGCCTGAAAAAAAAGAGTGAAACTCTGCCTCAAAATAAAAAAAGGTAGCTTTCAAAAAAAAACTTTCAGGTGTGTGAGGGGCAAAACTGAAAAACAGGGACTGGAAAAAAATAAGTGGTGACAGTATGGAGTCAGTAGGTTTGTATTACTCTCAAAAAAATTTGATCATGAAAGGAAAGCTTAAATGAGAACTGTTTTGCTAAAAAAAAGTCATGGGATTCAGTGAAAATAGTTGCAGGTAGAGGAGGCTTAAAAAAATTTGAAGATGTCGAAAGAAAGTACTACTGGGGTGGAAAATGCTGGGGGGGGAAAAAAAAGACTAGGGGCCAGGCATGGCAGCTCACGCCTGAAAAAAAAGCACTTTGGGAGGCTGAGGCGGGTGGATCATGAGGTCAAGAAAAAAAAACCATCCTGGCCAAAATGGTGAAACCCTGTCACTACTAAAAAAAAAAAAATTCTGTAATCCCAGCACTTTGGGAGGCCGAGACGGGCGAATAAAAAAATCAGGAGATCCAGACCATCCTGGCTAACCCGGTCAAACCCCGAAAAAAATAAAAAATACAAAAAACTAGCCGAGCGAGGTGGCGGGCGCCTAAAAAAACAGCTACTCGGGAGGCTGAGGCAGGAGAATGGCGTGAACCCGAAAAAAAGTGAGCTGAGATCTGGCCACTGCACTCCAGCCTGGGCGACAGAAAAAAACTCCGTCTCAAAAAAAAAATAAAAAATAAAAAAATAAAAATAAAAAAAATAGCTGGGCGTGGTGGTGCATGCCTGTAGTCCCAGCTACTCCAAAAAAAGAGGCAGGAGACTGCCATGAACACGGGAGGCGGAGCTTGCAGTGAGCCGAGATCCTGCCACTGCACTCCAGCCTGGGCCACAGAGCAAGACAAAAAAACCAAAAAAAAAGAAAAAAGTTAGAACACAGGTAAAGTCCTGGAGACAGACATTTCTGTTTTGTTGACCTCACACATCTCGCTGCCTAGCACATAACGGCTACTTGGTACATAGTCGTTGAATAGTGCGATGAGTGGATGGAAAAAAATGAGCAGTAGAAAGGAAGAGAACTTGTATTTGTTGAATGAACAAAAAAATAAATGCTTTATATTAATGGTCTTACCATTTGTAGCTACTCTAAAAAAAAGGCAGCAAACAACTATTGGCTTAGGTAACTCATCCAAGGCTAAAAAAATAATAATTCCATGCCTGTGTAGTGCTTTCTACCGTATAACCCAAAAAAACTTGAAACTCATTCCTGGGACTCTTTGGTGTGGTAGAAGACAAAAAAAATGCAGAAATTTCTTGCTTATACTTAGCTAAACTTGTTTTTCCAATAAGTTTTTGCTTGTTTTTCACATAGTTTTTGCAAACTGGTATTCACAAAAAAAGTACTATTCCTTTAAAAGTTTGCTTGGCCAGTGTGAACCCATTATTAAATAACCCTGAGCTGTCTGGCAACCTGTAACTCTTAAGCTATAATGATTTATTTTCATGAAAAGATAGCAAAGGTAACAGACCAATAGACTAGAAAAAAAAATTCCCAAATATCCAAGAATATGATAGCCCCATTATAGAATAAAAAAAAATGCTGCCAGACAGACCAGTAAATATCTATTGATCTGGTCTAAAAAAATTTTTGAAAACTTAGTTGTTCCTTATTTGTATCTTTGATTCATAAGTCTAGCTGTAGGACTCATCTCCTAAGGGAGAAAGGATGAAATCTGAAAAAAAACAATGCCTCTTTGGAACCAGAGGTAGGTTCATTGTTAGTAGAGCCCATTTCTCCTTCTACCTGATAGTTACCTGTAGCCCCAGTACTGATTAGTCCTCCCTGTTTGGGGTATGTAGTTCCGTGTCTGGAATTACCTGGTTTATTCCTATTCCAAATTTCTTTTTACATACTTATGTGAATAGATACAAAAAAAAATCCCAAGGGTACATCTATACTTTATGAATAGTCATACAATTAATAGAAAAAGTACCTTTTTATATAACTAAAGTTTTAAACATTGCCTTCCAAAAAAAGCAACTTTTATGGCATACTTTATATTAACTTTTCTATTTTGAGTATGAAACTCATAGCCCTTCAAAGTTCAAATTATTTTATTTAGCACTAAAAAAAATTATTACTTATCTGGCCAGTGGGAGCCAGAGTCATCTGAGTTAAAAAAATCAAGGATGTGGGGTCAGCTCAAATTCTGAATGTCCAAAACTGTACTCACTGGTTTTCCCTTCCGTCCTCCTTCTCTGTTGCTTATCTCCATGAACAGCATCGTTATCTACGCCGCAATGGTAACCTGGACATCCTTTTTGCCCTCATCACCTTCAGCCTCTTCTTCCAGCCCGTGTATTGTCTGTTCTAAAAAAATTTTTTCTTCCCCCCCGAGACGGAGTCTTGCTCCGTTGCCCAAAAAAAAGTGCAGTGGTGTGATCTTGGCTCACTGCAACCTTTGCCTCCCAGGTTCAAGCGATTCTCTTGCCTCAGCCTCTCAAGTAGCTGGGATTACAGGTGCTCACCACCATGCCTGGCTTATTTTTTTATTTTTAGTGGAAACGGGGTTTCACCATCTTGGCCAGGCTGGTCTTGAACTCCTGACCTCGTGGTCCACCCACCTCAGCCTCCCAAAGTGCTGAGATTACAGGTGTGAGCCACTGAAAAAAACCTGTCTGCTCTTCTTAATAGCTTGACAGCAGTTTCCTCCATAAAAAAATCCACAGCTTTCATTCAGTTTGTCATCTTTCTTATTGAAGTAAAAAAAACTCCTCAATGGTCTGCTTACCTCCATTCTTTCCTTCCTGTAATCCCATCACACCACAGCCACTCAGTGTGGCGTGGCCACCTGTGTTGGGGTCCCCAGGATCACCCCAGGTTCAGGGATTCACTAGAAGGACTCAAGACTAAAAAAATAGTTGTACTTCTGGCTAAGAGTATGGTGATGACCCTGCAAGGACAGGCAGCCAGATCATAAGGGGAAAAGACAAGCCAGGTAGAGGAGTCAAAAAAAAGGCTTGCTTCTTTTCGCCTTCTCCCATGAGGGTGTCACATGAAAAAAACTCCTTCCCCCAGCAACGAAAATGGAGCAACAATCTCTGCTCAAGGCAGCTCACTGGAGACTCAGCCCACGTTTTTACTGAGAGCTGGTCACCTAGGCACCGTCTGTCTAACACATACCAAAATTCCAGACCCTCCAATAAAAAAAAAGATGTTCACCATAAACCACATTGTTTGCATGAATAGTTTAGAAAAAAAAGACCACCGTTATCTCTTAGGGAACTGGGGAACCCTCTCAAAATCGAGGTTTCCAGCTGCCAGCGAAGGGCCGGCATGCAAGCGGAACTTGAAAAAAATAGCAGTCTCAGGTCCGCTGTAACTTTTCTGCACACCACTCTAAAAAAAGTTATTTTTTCTGTACACCAAAATAAGGACATACTCTTGTTGAAAAAAATATATAAAGAATGGTAAGAAAATAAAAAATCTCCACAAGTATACGTATGTAACAAACCTGCACGTTATGCACATGTACCCTAGAACTTAAAGTATAGTAATAAAAAATAATTTAAAAAAAAAAAAGAAAAGAAAAAATCTCTTATAACTCACCACTCGAATTTCATTTACATTTTAATATGTGTCCGTCCTTTTTCTATACATAATGTGCACGTCCAAGTATGTAATTTTAAGAGTGTACATTCTTCACGTAGTATTTTTGAATTTCTTAGTGGTTTTTTTTTTTTTTTTTTTTGAGATGGAGTCTCACTCTTTCACCCAGGCTGGAGTGCTGTGGCATGATCTCAGCTCACTGCAACCTCTGCCTTCCAGGTTCAAGCGATTTTCCTGCCTCAGCCTCCGGAGTAGCTGGGACTACAGCCATGTGCCCTCATGCCTGGCTAATTTTTGTATTTTTAGTAGAGATGGGATTTCACCATGTTGGCCAAACTGGTCTTGAACTCCTGACCTCAAGTGATCCGCATGCCTCGGCCTTCCAAAGTGCTGGGATTACAGGTGTGAGCCACTGCACCTGGCCATTCTTTGTGAGTTTTTTTTTTTTTTTGTAAGAAATAAAGCATTATAAAGCTGAAGTATCCTGGCTATCCCTCCCCAGTCTTATTTCCCTGTCTTCTCAGATATGTACACATTGGTGCTTATTGTCCCATGTGTTAATAGATTTTTGCAGGTATTATCTACCTGTTTTTGAATTTTATGTAAATATTATACAGTAAGTCATTCTATAACTTATTTTTTGCCCAGTAATTATGTTTTTTGCAATTTATCTCTGTTAATAATGTATAATATTCATGTATGTGTATATATTCACAAACCTATTATCTGATTAATGGACATTGAAGTTGTTTGCAGTTTATCACTAGTGATGTTCTCCCCACTGACTTGTAATGCCACCTCAGTCACACATCAGGCTTCCCTAATGCTTGGATATGTTTTGGGATTTTCTGTTCTAGTCTATTCATCTGTAACTGATGCGGCTATCTTTTCATGAAAATAAATCAGGATAGCATAAAAGTTAAAAGCTCCTAGGCTAACTTGGATTCAAGTTCTACCTCAGCTTCTTACAAAGCCTTAATTTCCTAATATGTAAAATAGTGTCTTCCTTATTGATTTATGAGGATGGAGTTAAATTATCCTTATAAAAAGCACTTAACACAATACCTGGCAAATAGCAAATGCTCAATAATGCTAGTTGTTATTAAGATGATGGGGTTTTTTTGGTTTTGGTTTGGTTTGTTTGAGATGGAGTCTCTCTCTGTCGCCAGGCTGCAGTGCAGTGGCACGATCTTGGCTCACTGCAACCTCCGCCTCCCGGGTTCAACCAGTTCTTCCGCCTCGGCCTCCGGAGTAACTGGGACACAGGCGTGTGCCACTACGCCCAGCTAATTTTTTTGTATTTTTAGTAGAGACAGGGTTTCACCATTTTGACCAGGATGGTCTCCATCTCTTGACCTCGTGATCCACCTGCTTCGGCCTCCCAAAGTGCTGGGATTACAGGCGTAAGCCAATGCGCCAGACCAAGATGATGTTTAATAGTGTTCCACTTATGTATGGACTGGACCAGAAATTACTTAACCAAGTCTCCAGATGTTTAAGGTATTTCAAATTTGTGCTGCCTTATTGAAAAGATTAAATGAGATAATACATGTAGAGTGCTTAGGAAGTGCCCTGGAACATAGCTGTCAGTAAGGGTTAGTGTTAATGATGAGTCATAAAAAGCTGTGTACATATTATTACTTACTTCCTTAGTATAAATTGCTAGGAGATAATTGCTGGGTCAAACAGCATGTTTCAGGGCCCTTGCTATAAGTCACAGTGGTTTTTCTAAAGCACAGATGCGATGACATGTCCACACCCAAGCCCTTCGGTAACCTCCATGCCTGTGGAGAAAGGGCCGTGCAAAACTCTCCTTGAGGAAACTGGCCTCTGCCTCCCTCTTTAGCTGCATCTTCCCCACAGCACGACTCACAGCCTAGACTTCTACCATTCTAAGCTGATTTTTGTTGTTAATCCTTTCCATGTAAAGACCTGCCTCCTTCTTTTTGAGAAACTTGAGGTTTTTTCCTCAAGATTTAGAAGGTTCTGGCTCCTCCCACAAATGAAAACTTAGCTTAGATCCCACTCCTGTCAAGAAAGCTGCAGTGCTCCTCCCTCCACCCCTCCCTGCTGGGCTAGGTGAGCCTCTGAGGTGCTGTCATGGATTGCGTATCGCTTTGCTGCACTTACACATCCTGGAGTGAAACATTATTTCATTTACTTGTTTGTTCTCTGTGCTAAGCTATAGCTTCTGGAGGACAAAGACAGCATCTGACAGTTTTTTTGTGCTTGGTATAAGTAGCTGGTGCTGAATAAATGCTGGTTGAATGAGTCACAAGAAGCAGTGACCATATCCCCTTGACTGTTGGAGAATGGTCAGTGCACCACAAATATGCCTTTTCCTCCTCCTCACGAGGACCACACCATCTCCCAGCCACCATAAATCCCAGAAATGTGGGATTTAATGCTCTTGTTTTATTTTTATATTTTTTATTTTTGTAGAGACAGGGGTCTTGCTATGTTGCCGAGGCTGGTCTCGAGAACTCCTGGCCTCAAGTGATCCTTTTACCTCAGCCTCCCAAAGTGCTGGGATTACAGACGTGTGCCACTGTGCCTGGTCTGTTGTTTTAATTAGACTCTCGATTGCGAAAAACTGAGACTTCGCTAATACGAGTAAAGGGAATTAGTGATAAGATCTTACACAGAGCCCAAGAGGGTTAGAGTATTATGGCAATCTATGAATAAATAAGGCTGGTTTGCATGGAAATTGGACCCGTGGGTGGTGCTAGGCGAGGTGAGGGCCTCCCCAGGAATTCTTAGGTCTCTGCGTCAGTATTCCACCGCTGGTGGGACTGCACTGGGCTCCCCCTGCCTGCCCCTGGTCCCGTGGTCTATTATGACCTTTTCTCTACCTTGTACCTCCCACGTGCCCACGGGTTCTGCTGCTGGTAACTTTGGTTCCCCGATCCTCGTGGCTGCTTCGGGACCTCATGATATCCTTTCAGCTAGTCACTTACTTGTCCTGACATTTCTTAGTTCACATTCCCAAGGAAGGATGTCACCCCTTTTCAAGCCAGACCACGTCTCAGTCTACTACTCACCTGTGCATCGCCCACCTGTGGCCTAATCAGTGTGGCTCCGGGAATGAGACCCAGGGTCACATGGTACAAAACCTGCCCAAGGGACAGTCCTTTAGCAGGGGCTACGAGTGGGGTCTTTTTCCTTTGAAGAGACTGGATTGTCTTTGATATGTCTTGTCCGTGTAGTCATTTACAAACTTGCTTATGGCTTTTGCCCAGTAATTGTTCAGGGCAATACTGAATGTGAGTTTATACGTATACGCACTGTGTGAATCTTACACAGTTCTTGACTCTCAGGAATAGAACTCTGCCTCTAGCATCGTGGTAAAACCACCACCACATTGTGGTCTAATTCGCAATTCCATGGTTGTTGGCTCTCATTCTGGGGTGGTCTGGGGTTGTGCCTGGCCTTGCTTGACTTTGACCCCCTTTTGTAAGGTATTGAGAATGACGTATCCCCCTGGTATGGGCTTCATGGGTCAAAACACTATGCGACGGTACTGGTCTTTCTCGTACCTTCTTTCTCACCCCACACTTCTGCTTCATTAGGACTCTGCCCTTGTCTACAGGGAGAGCACACAGGAAAGAATGGCTGCTGTGTCTCCGACCACCAGATGCCAGGTGAGGTGGCCTTTTGTGTTTCCGAAGTACTCCATTCGTCTCCAGAATAGAACCACTTTTCTTTATCCTGGAGCCTCTTTGAGCAGACCCAGCCAGGCAGATGAAGGGCTCCACAGGGAGTATTTCTTTCCCATTTCACTTGAGGTGTCCTTTAGTGACCTTTTCCTGCCGTGAGCATGTGCCCACTAGCTCGTCACCAGACTCACAACTCCTGGAGCCTTCGCTGTCAGTGATTGTGCCTAGAAGCCAATGGTAGGGTCTGACTGGAAGGTTTGGGGAATAGTGGGCTGGTTCTGGTCCTGACTGTCCCTTTGGTACATTCACGTGTGGACTGAGAGGAGGCCCCAGTGTTCAGGGAGCGTGGGGCTAGGCGGGGATGTGTGGTACACACTGTAGAGCACCTGTCTGCAGGTGCTGAGAGCCCTGAAGAGTCTCCTGTGCTACAGACATGTGGCTTGCTCCATTCCTGCCCAAGGGCAGAGTCTTGAATTCTGCACCCTGGCCTAGAACTTTTGCCAACACACTGGAGACTCATCTGAGGTTTTAGAACTGGAGGTAAAGAGATGCAATCTTACACAGTCACAGAGCATTGGAATGAAATGAGGCGGATCCTACAGATGATCTAATCAACACCATTATTCTAAGGATTTGTAAAAAACAAAGACAATTGGTGAAATCTGAGTAAGATTGTAGATTAGGTAATAGGATAAGATCAATGCTATTTTCTCCTTTTTATTTTTTTTGAGACACAGTCTCACTCTGTTGCTCAGGCTGGAGTGCAGTGGCACGACCTCACCTCACTGCAAGCTCCGCCTCCCGGGTTCAAGCGATTCTCCTGCCTCAGCCTCTGGAGTAGCTGGGACTACAGGTGCCGCCACCACGCCTGGCTAATTTTTTTGTATTTTTAGTAGAGATGGGGTTTCACCATGCTTCTGTCCTCATGATCTGCCCGCCTTGGCCTCCCAAAGTGCTGGGATTACAGGCATGAGCCACCACGCCCAGCCTATTTTCTCCATTTTTTATAGTTATACTGTGATCATAACAACAGTACGCCTTTGTTTTTACAAAATACACATTGAAATATTTAGGATTAAAGACATCTGATGTCGGCAAGTTAGTCAAGAGGCTTAGCAAAAAGATAGGAGAATGTGTATCTAGAGAGAGACAGAAAGATAAAGCAAACGTGGAAAATGCTGCCATTTGAGGAAGCCAGGTGAAAGGCACACACGGCTTTTTTTGTGCTGGTTTGAGAGGTCTGAAGAAAGAGGCTGATACTCAGAAGCTCAGCTGCAGGTGTAGTGCTGTGAGACTCTGACCAAGAGCTCCATGTCCTGGGTGATGAGGCCGCTTTTCCCAAGGGCTTTAAAGTTCTACTCAGCCCATTGTTTTTCTTCCCTCCCACCAGCATCCTCCAGGGCTGTCATCTTGGACATTTAGAAGGGTTAAGAGTAAAGGAGAATGTGATTGTATTTTCAGGAATCAGTGACATTCGAAGATGTGGCTGTGGTTTTCACAGATGAAGAGTGGAGTCATCTGGTCCCCATACAGAGGGACCTCTACAAGGAGGTGATGCTGGAGAACTATAACAGCATCGTGTCATTGGGTAAGGGGAGCCTCCATGAGGAGGTACAGTCTGTCCTATGCTAATGTGGGGCTGAGAGGGCTGAGGAATTATTACCTTTCTCCTCCCCACTGAGTCCTGAGCCACTTGAGAGACAAGGTAAGAGTTGAAAGATGTGGCATCAGAGTACAGCAACGGCGGGCTCAATACTGAACCCCAGCATTGGGCAGACATGCCTCCCCAGCCATGGGCGGTGCTGGACGACCATAGGCTCTCTCGCTCAGCAGCCTGCCCTGGCAAAATGGAGGGAGGGCCAGTGAGGGCTGAGGGACCGAGCAGAATGTGTGTTAGAGGCAGGGAGCTGGGTCTCCAGAGGGACAGGCGGAAGACGCTGAGTTCCATATGCCCAGCTATTCTCCCAACCCGCCAGTCAGGTAACTCAGCTCACCCAGAGGAGTGTGCGCTGGGGCAGGGGGCCATCTTGTCGGAATAGAGGGTTGTGCCTCTGAGGTCACCAGAGATATGTTTGATTTTGAGTATTTGTCTTAGGTACAGTCTTAGATGCTCTCAGAACACACTTTGTAATTATAGAGACTTGTGTGACAAAGAGAAAGTTGAGTCACTACTGATCCCGGTATTAGTGAAAAGTAAAGTTGGGCTCCTGGAGGTTATGGGAACCTCTCAGGGGCTTCACGAGTGAGAGGCTGAGGGAATGCCCAGAATGAGAAGCCGGTTTAAAATCAGCAGCAGTAACAGGACTCGCAGTGCAGATTTCCTACCAGGCAGGTCTAAAAGTAAGTGCTAACACCCCCCAGAGTAATGTAATCAGACCAGTAGTCTCCCAAACAGAATGGAATATTCAGGAAGGAGCCTTTGTTACAAACGTTAGCAGATGGCTGTTGAGGAAAATAGAGCCCCTGAGGTCAGGGACCCAGAGCCACAGGGAGATGCTGGGTGTGGCCATTTTGTCAACAGAAAATCCACATAAAATCCAGTAGACAGTCCTTGGGCCCAATAAGAAAGTGCCTCTTTCCCAAGTTGGGGCCTCAACAAAAGGGAAGTTTAGAGCCCAAGCCTATTTCCAGGATCTATTTTTTAATATAACCAAAAATGGATAGATCTGCTTCAGGGAATTTATCCTAAGGAAATAATAGGACTAACAATCTGTGGTATATGGAGATGTTCATTACACTATTGTTTGTTAATAGCAAAACATTAAAAATGATCTAAATGTCTGTCATAAGGGCATTCACTAAATAAATTATGTTATCCATACAATGTCATATCCCGTTGCTATTACAATGGTGAGGTAGATCAGTGCTGATTGAAATAAAATAGTATTTTAAATTTATTATGTGAAAAAAAAAAATCAAGTTTACAAGTCAGCATCATTTCATTATCCAGTTTTTTATTTTTTAATTTAATTTTACTTTTTCATTTGAGAGAGTCTCACTCTGTTGCCTAGACTGGAGTGCAGTGATGCAATCTCGGCTCACTACAACCTCCGTCTCCAGGGTTCGAGCAGTTCTCGTGCCTCAGTCTCCCAAGTAGCTGGGATTACAGCCATGAGCTACCATACCCTCCTAATTTGTGTATTTTTAGTAGAGACAGGGTTTCACCATGTTGGCCAGGCTGGTCTCGAACTCCTGACCTCAGGTGATCTACTCGTCTTGGCCTCCCAAAGTGCTGGGATTACAGGGGGGGGGCCACTGTGCCCAGCCTCATTATCCAGTTTTTAACAGAATGTATCTAGAGGCATCTTTGGATATCTGAATAGAAAGAAAGAAAATACACTGTATGCAAGGTGATTTTTTTTCTTTTTGCTTGTATAGACTTCTAATTTTCCTAGAATGAACCAGACAGATTTGTTTCAATGAAAGCATAGTGCTCAAGGCAAACAAATGAACAAAAATGGGCAGTTTTGATACACTTTTTTACTCAAGGTGACTTAATTTCATTCTCATCTCCCCTAAGCCTTCATCCTACCAGTACTAACACCGGGAACTTCCCATTCACTTCACGGGGAAGAATAAACATGTGAATCCACATGGGTTCTCTCAACCTTCTGACCTTGTGCCACTTGCTCCTTTTATAGCCTCAGTCTTGGCCTCTGTCCAGAGTTTCCTCTGCTTTGGACTCTGCATTCTTGGCCTGTGCATTCTGCCTTTTGCATTTTCTCTCTAAAAGACTTAGATGCTGTGTCCAGGCACAGTGGCTCATCCCTGTAATCCCAGCTGTTTTGGAGGTCGAGGCAGGCGGATCACCTGAGGTCAGGAGTTCGAGACCAGCGTGGCCATCATGGCAAAGCTCCTTCTCTACTAAAAATACAAAAATTAGCCAGGTGTGGTGGCACCCGCCTGTAATTCCAGCTAGTGGGGAGGCTGAGGCAGGAGAATCACTTGAACCTGGGAGGTGGAGGTTGCAGTGAGCTGAGATCGGGCCACTGCACTCCAGCTGGGGCGACAGAATGAGATGCTGTCTCAACAGCAACAAAAAAGTCTTAGAAGCTGGGATTGAGCTTTGGGAGAGTGATATTTCATCACACACAGCCACTTGCTTTGTTTCTTTCTCTTTGAGCAGGCCTTCCAGTTCCTCAACCTGATGTGATTTTCCAATTGAAGAGAGGGGACAAGCCATGGGTAGTAGATCTGCATGGGTCTGAGGAGAGAGAACGGCCAGAGAGTGTCTCTCTAGGTAACTGAGTGTGAACAGGACAGGATGGAATTTTGTTATTTGGGTGATGGGGGAACATCAGCTCTCGCCTTTCTCTCACATTCCAGTCTTTTGCTTGTTAGTTATTGTGTGTCACCCACTAGCTTTCATTTTTTCCCTTTACACCTTAACGTGTTATTCGTCTATATTCACCAAGTGTTACTTTCTCACATCTGTCACAGGGCACACTCATGCCTTGCTCTTTCCTTTTTTTTTCCCCAAGACAGAGTCTCGCTCTGTTGCCCAGGCTGGAGTGCAGTGGGGCTGTCTCGGCTCACTGTAACCTCCGCCTCCCGGGTTCAAGTGCTTCTCCTGCCGCAGCCTCCCAAATAGCTGGGATTACAGGCACCCGCCACCACACCCGGATAATTTTTGTATTTTAGTGAGACGGGGTTTTGCCATGATGGCCACGCTGGTCTCGAACTCCTGACCTCAGGTGATCCACCCACCTTGGCCTCCCAAAGTGCTGGGATTATAGGAGTGAGCCACTGCGCCCAGCCACACTTTGCTATTTCTATTGAGTGCCATCCGGTCCATTCGGCATGCTCTCGTAATTGTGCTGGCCATGCTCCCGCTGGACATTCTCCTGTTTTCTGAGGTGTCCATCATCCGTTCTGTTCCCTGCCACCTTCTTCACTCCCAGGTCTCAGTCCCTCTCTGCAGTGCAGTACTATTTGTGGGAGCAAGCAATGCAGTGACCATACATTTCTTTTAGACTCATGGAAGCATCTCTTCTTTCTGCTGTAATATTTTCTTGTCCAGGAAAAAAAACTGCATCTGTTTTCTGTTTGTTCCAGAAACTAAGCCTGAGATTCATGATGCTTCAGACGAAAAATCAGAAGGATCATTGAGGGAATGCCTTGGAAGGCAAAGTCCTCTGTGTCCTAAATTTGAAGTTTATGCACCCGATGGCAGGATGGGAACAGAAAAGCAAAGCCCTTCAGGGGAGACTCGTAAGAAATCTCTCTCCCGGGAGAAAGGCGTGCGGCGAGGGTCAGCCCTGCCCAGGGAAGTTCTCACTAAAGAAAGACACCAGGAATGCAGTGACTGTGGGAAGACCTTCTTTGACCACTCATCCCTCACCCGCCATCAGAGGACTCACACTGGGGAGAAGCCCTACGGCTGCCGTGAGTGTGGGAAAGCCTTCAGCCACAGGAGCAGCCTCAGCAGACACCTGATGTCGCACACCGGGGAGAGCCCCTACGAGTGCAGCGTGTGCGCAAAAGCCTTCTTCGACCGCTCGTCCCTCACTGTCCACCAGCGAATCCACACCGGAGAGAAGCCCTTTCAGTGCAGCGAGTGTGGGAAAGCCTTTTTTGACCGTTCATCCCTTACTCGACACCAGAGAATTCACACTGGAGAAAGTCCTTATGAATGTCATGAGTGTGGGAAAGCCTTCAGCCAGAAAAGCATTCTTACTCGCCACCAGCTAATCCACACTGGCAGGAAGCCGTACGAGTGTAACGAGTGCGGGAAAGCTTTCTATGGGGTCTCGTCGCTGAACAGACATCAGAAGGCTCACGCCGGGGACCCTCGCTATCAGTGTAACGAGTGTGGCAAAGCTTTCTTTGACCGCTCATCCCTTACGCAGCATCAGAAGATCCACACTGGAGACAAGCCATATGAATGCAGCGAGTGCGGGAAAGCCTTCAGCCAGCGGTGCCGGCTCACGCGGCATCAGCGCGTCCACACGGGAGAGAAGCCCTTTGAATGCAGCGTGTGTGGGAAAGTTTTCAGTTCAAAATCTTCTGTTATTCAGCATCAGCGGCGTTACGCCAAGCAGGGAATAGACTGAGTTGGGTGAAAGCTTGGGCGGGACAAGAACTTCCATACAAATTCGAGATAGGTCTCCCCTGTCTTAAACAAAGCTGCCATTTGCTCATTCTACCCACCCTGGCTGCCGCTGTCCTGGCCTGCTTGTGCACCAGAGTGTTCAATAGGCACTCCCTTCCTGCTGTGTTACAGAACCGCAGGCAGGCCACGGAGATGACTCCCTTCCTGCTGTGTTACAGAACTGCAGGCAGGCCATGGAAATGACTCTAACGATACAAAAGTTTGACGAGGTTTGTCAGACAATAGGATAGATGTTAGGAGGAGATACACCTCTTGTCTGAGAACCTAGGCCCCAGGTATCACTGCACTTTAAGTAACTGGCGGCTGCAGCAGGAAGGAAAGGCAGAATGATACCAGAGCAGTACTTTTTTTTTTCAGAACAGTTGTTTTGATGGCTGTTTTAGTCCCCCTGTCTTGGAGCTTTTTGGGGCCCTAATCTTGTTCTCTTGTGTCCCAGCTTTTAGACCTCTTCCTTCTACTGCTAGTAGCCAGCACTTCCTGAGCGCTTACGATGAGGTAGACTCAGCTAAGGGTTTTACAGGAAGTAGATTAACTGATCCTGTCGCCAACCCTATGGAGTAGGCACTGTTACCATCTGCATCTCTAGATGAGCACCCTGAGGTTTATAGAGATTAAATCACTTGCCCAAGGTGACCCAGCTGGTAAAAGGTGATGCCAGGTCTTGAAGACAGGTCCACCTTCAAAGTCTATTTTCTTTACCATTATGCTTGATGGTTTGTTTTATAATTTATGTATATGTATTATCCTCTCAACTAGATTGTAAGCACTTGGAGGTGTGACTTACAGGTCTTTGTATCTCATACAGTGCCTTGCTAATGGGTGCTCAATAAATATTTATATGAATGAATGACTTTTCTACTTACCAGATTCTCTCCATTCAAAACACCTCTTGGATTTGCATTCTTTGTCTGAATTCACAGCCCAGCCTACACTTTTATCATCCCCAGCTCCCACTCCTGGCAGCAGTAGCTTCCTCATTCCAATTCTTCCCACTTGATTGTTGAAGAGGGATGTGCTAAGATGTGGTACAGTAATAGCCCACAGAGAGCTATGTCTCCCTTAAAACCTGATGAGAACCACTCTGTCTTATTCTGTCCTCATTATTTGGAACATCTGGCTTCCAAAGTCACCACAAGGGAGGAAGAGAAAGCTAGAGGAATTTGTCGGATTTCTTTTTAGACCCAGGCTTACATCACTTCTGTCCACATCTAAGAAGACAGAACCCAGCACTTGGAGGCCAGGAAAGTAAACAAGCACCTCGAAAGCTGGTTAACACTGAGAGCCTCTGTCACAAAGTAAACAAGCACCTCGAAAGCTGGTTAACACTGAGAGCCTCTGTCACAAAGTAAACAAGCACCTCGAAAGCTGGTTAACACTGAGAGCCTCTGTCACAAAGTAAACAAGCACCTCGAAAGCTGGTTAACACTGAGAGCCTCTGTCACAAAGTAAACAAGCACCTCGAAAGCTGGTTAACACTGAGAGCCTCTGTCACAAAGTAAACAAGCACCTCGAAAGCTGGTTAACACTGAGAGCCTCTGTCACAAAGTAAACAAGCACCTCGAAAGCTGGTTAACACTGAGAGCCTCTGTCACCGTTACAGTTTGCATATTACTGTTAACCCAGTCTTTGCAAGTGACCACTTCCTGCCCATCGTTGCCTTCCTCAAAACCTAAAATAGCTCCCTATTCAGTGAAAAATTATCTCAATATTTAAGATCTGCCTTAACATGATCCCCATTGCTGAACTTTACCTCCTGACTCCAAAAACCCTTCTATTCCCTGGGCCCAGTCCTATATTTTCATTTTTGTTAAAGGATACGCACTAGATGACCTTGACTCTAGGCATCTGCATTCTCTTGCTCTTTGCTTAGGGTGAAGCTCAGAAAAGGACCTGGTTCTGAAAGGCTGTCTGGAATTAGACTGCCGTACGTGATTCCCCGTGGATTGAGATGAATTTCCTCTGGAAGTTCAAGTCAGATTCGGGAAGCTGAATTACCAAACAGACCCTCCTCAACCTACTAACAACCCTATTCCTCTGTTCACCCTAGAGCAGACAAACGGCAGGGAAGACTTGATCTGTGGACTTTTGAAAGCAACTTGAGGAAAAACACGTAACAGAATCTGTGGGTGTGGACAATATGCGATATTGCTAAATAATGTCCAGTAGGAAATAAAAAAAACTATGGACAAACTTTTGGCTGATGACTGTCTGGGAGTTCTGAATTTTTACTGCCTCATTGAAAGTAAATTGAGGGTCAGGTATTTCCCTAATACATTCTACCATTTTCAGCAAGATGAGACTGGAACGAATTCAGGATTCGATGGACATCTTTTTTACTCTATTATCCTTGGAAAAGATACCAATGGACTTTTGAGCACAGTAGTAATGTAAACAGAGTGGAGATATGGATTTGATGGTTTTCCCTTTGTTCCCCTTTTAAATTTGGTTATCAGAGCTTTTTTTTTTTTTTTTTTTCAATGTGGATACTGTTCCACTTCCTTCTAAAAACAGGAAATGGCCATTTTATCTTTTAATTAATATCTCCCAATATGGCATGTAGTAGTGGAGACCTTAAATTCTGAGGTTTTGGCTTCACCTAATGGCCATTAGTAGGGTCAAATCTTGGAATCAGAAATTGATCAAATTGGAAGAATATCAGCATTCTTAAGGTATAAAGCAAAAATGACGGGATAGTGTTTGCAGGGGTTTGAGCCTCAAAGAAATGAAATAATATCACTGATGTCAAGCTTTCAAAGGAGTTTCAAAGACATGAAATAGTATTACTGATGACAAATTAAAGTTTTTGTTTTTTGTTTGTTTCTTTCTTTTGAGACAGTGTCTCGCTCTGTCGCCCAGGCTGGAGTGCAGTGGCGCGGTTTCGGTTACTGCAACCTCTGCCTCCCAGGTTCAAGCAATTCTCCCACCTCAGCCTCCCAAGTAGCTGGGAATACAGGCGCCTGCCACCACGCCCGGCTAATTTTTTGTATTTTTAGTAGAGACGGGGTTTCACTATGTTGGCCAGGCTGGTTTCAAACACCTGACCTCATGAGCCACCCGCCACCACCTCCCAAAGTGCTAGGGTTACAGGTGTGAGCCAGTGCGCCTGGCCAAACTCTTAAGTTTTAAGAGAGAATTGAGTGCTTGCCACACAAAGGCACAGAAGCATTCCACGAATCAAAAGAAAGGTTGGCAATGCTAGAGAACCTTGCAATGGAAAGAATATGGCAGATGGCAAAAAGCTGGGCACCGCAACCTGGCACAGACAGTTGGCAGGCCCACCAATCCCAGAAATGCATCTGGGGTGTCAGGATGCTAGGGCGGCCAGCGGGAGGGTTGGCCAGCTTCTGGGCTCAGGCACACCCACCCCCTCCTCCCCAGGCCTGCATTTCTAAGAATAACCCCCTCTGCAAGTCTGACATAATAAATCACACAGAGCTGAAGATGGAAGCAAAGATACCAGGTGCCAGCCATTAGACAAGATGAATATGTTCATTTTCAATAACCAGCTAGAACTGATTCCTCAGGAAGTCTAAGAGATTGACTGCAATGGATATCAAGTTCCTAAGTGGTCTATGTTATTGAGGCAAGACTCCTGTGGTAAAAAGCAAGTTGAAGTAGACATGTTGAGTTGGGTGATGGGGATCCTAGTGAGGGGGCTTCTCTGAAATGCTTTTACAAGGGTTTGAGTGGATTGGGAAATGTATATACAGATTGACCATTATAATTTGAAATCCAAAATGCTCCAAAATGTGAAGCTTTTTGAGTGCTGAGCTAAAGCCACAAGTGGAAAATTCCACATCTGATCTCATGTGATGGGTCGCAGGAAGACCAAGATTTAAGGGGCGTGAAGACAGGACGAGGCTTCAAAGGAGAATGAGTAGATGGAGATAGGTCAGAGAAATACCAGGGGACAGCAGTGTCACAGAAGTCACAAGATTTTCAAGAAAGAGGGAATGATGAAAACACTCCATGTTGCCAGGTAATCAAGGAACACAAAGCCTGAGAAGGCTCCACTGGAGTTTATCAGTGACATTTAGCAGTGATATTTACAGAGTTGGAAAGATGATGATATATTGCTAAATGATAAACCCAGGTTACAAAATGTTTGGAACTTGAATACATTTACAATATATTTCCACATATATGCATAGAAAAAGAAGGACCAACACCAAGATATTATCCCTAATTATCTTTGACTAGAAAGCTTATATACTATTTTCTTTTTTTTTGTTTTGAGACGGAGTCTCAGTCTGTCGCCCAGGCTGGAGTGCAGTAGCATGATCTCGGCTCACTGCAACCTTTGCCACCCGGGTTCAAGCAATTCTCCTGCCTCAGCCTTCCCAGTAGCTGGGATTACAGGCATGCACCACTACACCCAGCTAATTTTTTGTATTTTTTTAGTAGAGACGGGGTTTCACCATGTTGACCAGGATAGTCACGAACTCCCGAAGTCAGGTGATCCACCCGCCTTGGCCTCCCAAAATGCTGGGATTGTAGGTATGAGGCACCATGTCCAGCCACTTTATACACTTTTCTTTATCTCTCTCTCTTTTTTTTTTTTTTTTTTGAGACGTAGTCGCACTCTGTCACCAGGCTGAGGGCAGTGGCGCCATCTCAGCTCACTGCAACCTCCGTCTCCCAGGTTCAAGTGAATCTCCTGCCTCAGCCTCCTGAGTAGCTGGGACTACAGGCGTGCGGCACCACGCCCAGCCAATTTTTGGTGTTTTTAGTAGAGACAGGGTTTCACCATGTTGGCCAGGATGGTCTCGATCTTTTGACCTCATGATCCGCCTGCCTCGGCCTCCCAAAGTGCTGGGATTACAGGTGTGAGTCACCGTGCCCAGCCTATCTCCTTTTTATACTTCCCAGTTGTCTCCAGTGAACATGGAATGTTTTAAAATATTTTTAAAACTGCAAATAAAACGAGGAAGCACATTTTAAAATACGTGGAGTGATGAACACCAAATTTAGTACAATGGTTACCTCATGGAGGGGAAGAGAGGAGATGAGGGAGGGGCCTCAACCTTAGTGTTAATGTTTATTTCTTAAATTAGGTGGTGGGTCCATAGGTGTTTGCTTTAGTCTTTATGCTTCTTGTATGTCTTAAGCATTTCATAATGCATTTAGAAACTAAATACAGAAAATGAGGGCTTTATAAATTTCACTATTTAACTTTTTTTTTTTTTTGAGATGAAGTCTCGCTCTTCTCCCTAGGTTGGAGTGCAGTGGTGCAATCTCGGCTCACTGCAACCTCTGCCTCCCGGGTTCAAGTGATTCTCTTGTCTCAGCCTCCCAGGTAGCTGGGATTACAGGCGCTCGCCACCACGCCCAGCTAATTTTTGTATTTTTAATAGAGACGGGGTTTCACCATGTTGGCCAGGCTGGTCTTGAACTCCTGACCTCAGGTGATCCGCCCGCCTCAGCCTCTCAAAGTGCTGGGATTACAAGTATGAGCCACCACGCCCAGCCTATTTTACATTTTTAAAAGCCAAAGCCATCATAATTTATCTTTTTAAGGATTTCTAAAAAACTGTTTATTGATGTTTATAGTTGTGTTTTATATTATCTAAAACTCTTCCAGTTGAATTTGTATTTTCATCAAATTCAACAAAATTGCACAGATATATAATTAAGGGATACAAATTCATTATTTTTAAAGCTATAAAAGAAAATGGCTTCATGGGGTTGTTCCTGAGGTGTGGAACCTTCTCCATATTCCACTGCTCTAAGCCAAGAACTTTCCCTCAACCCACAAGAACACCAGGTCCATATGGGGGACATTCCCAGATACTCATCAGGTAAAGAACACATGAACCACTTCAAAGAGACCTAACTCCGATTTTCTAG